CCAGCACTGAGAGCGCCCGTCGCCACCATCTGATCCCGATGCTCCAGACGACCCCCAGTTGTTCCACAACTTGCTGTAGTGGTCACTCCATAGTCTGCCCTTGATCTCGTTGGAGCGTCTTCCCCATGGCGATGCGGCGGGCGCCGTGACTAGGAGGGCCAAAGACTGGCTCGACCAGCGAAACTGGCTCGCTAGCAGGCCAGGAACACCATGCAGGGTCAGGGGGGAGCAAAAAAAACGCACCCTTAAAGCAATCGGCTGCTCGGGTCCTCGATCGACGCCGCACGACGACTCAGAGCGCCGCCAACATCGGCGCAAATGAATCCGGAACAGTTTCCAAACCAGCCCCCTTAGACAGCCCTATAAGTCTCCCAGACGGCCCAGAAGGCACCCAAAACGGTTCCAAGAGTGCGCCCAATCGGGTGCCAAAGCGAACGCGCCCGAGCCTTCGGCCCCGAGGCCTCAAGATGCCCCCCAAGAAGCCCCCGCGAAGCCCCAAGAGGCCACCGGGAGGCCCCCGGGAGGCCCGACGGGACCCCCGAGAAACCCCCATGAGGCCCCAACTGTGCCCCCGCGAGGCCCTAATCCACCCCGCCCACCCACCCCGCCCACAGAGGCGCGCGAGCGCGCTCCGAAGACGCCCCACGAAGCATCGCTGAAGACTCTGCTCCACGTCAGCGTCGCCGTCGCTGCCAAGGGCGCCGTCGCCGTTGTCGCCCTCCGCCAAGGCCGGCGGCGCCGACCGCGAGACCTTCCCAGCGAACTTAGGGGGACCCAAATATACACTTCATGGAGCATGGGGACCTACACGGGAAACTACAAAAACAACAGCATCGCGTCGCGCCACGCTCGCGAGCCGATCGAAATGTCGAACGCGGCTGGCAATCGTGGGTTTGACATTGGCTGTCTCGAACCCGCGGAGCAGGAACTCAACGCCCCTCTGGACTTGCTTGGCTTTCTCGAAGCGACGCAATTCCCCGGCGAGCCTGGCGAGGGGCAGTCGAGAGTGTAGCGTCTGCGAATCAACGCCCGACGCGCGATTCTGAGATCTCTGCGCTGGACAGGCCGCCTGAGGGCAGTGAAAGTCGTCATCGCGCGAGCGGTGATCGCGGCCATAGGCCCGGCGAGTCTGGCTTCTATTGGCTTCGTCTCTGAGTGAGATGACAGATAAGGATGGGCGGCGCGGCTGAGGACGTTAAAACGAAATGCAGCGCAGCGCGCGCTGGGACGCGCCCTGCCTAACGCGAGATCTCTCACTTGACGAGCGCGGCACGGTTACTTGCCGCGGGGGGCTCCCAGCTGGCAACTTTGCCCACCGGAGCCAATCGGGGGCCCGAGGTACCGCGCAGAACGAGCCCGCGACCGCGCCCCATCCCGAGATCCAGCATCCACAGGGCCCTGGCGGACTTTATCCTCAGAGACGTGCCGAGGACAAAAAACGACAGGGCCTTTTTCTGGCAGTTAAAAGCCCGCGCTCTGGGACGAAAAGTATTTGGAATGCGTCGTTGGTGGCGCCAGCGTCGTCGGCGAAGACTACGCCCAATGCGACCGCGCCGGGGATGCGCGAGTAGAGGGTCCGAGGACTGAGTCGAACGCGACGGCCAAGATCGGCCCCGACATCAGATAGCATTGTCTGATTCTCTGACGGCGCCAGAACGCGCCATCACGAGGCCCGCGAAAGACCGCTCGGCAACGACGCCGTCGAAAGAAGCACGGGGCCGCGCGGGCGACATATTCCGGGACATCCCATGTTTCAGGAAGCCCGGCGCAACGTGTTGCGCTGGAGGAGCGGGAAAACAGCGCGGATGTCGAACCAATCGCATTCGCTTCGGCGACCGATTCTCTGAACAGATGAACCTGCATCTCAAAACTGTTCTCGTCAACCCCCACGCTGGTTCTCGATGCGTATAACCTGCGCGACGTAGGCAGGAAGAGTGCTCAAACCAGTCGCGACCAGCTTGTCACACAAGTTGCAGTGGGTAAGCAGCCGTTGGTGGACAAATCTGCAAATGATACTATCGGTTTGGATTCAGGCCCACTGAAGTACACGCCAAAACAAAATCCGGGATGTGGCAGTACAAGACACACAAACGTCGAGTCGCGATCTCCACCCAGCGAACACAGGCCGAGTAGAGGGGCCATCTGGGCCAGGGGCAGAATCGCGCTTCCTACGGATGCTCAAGCAAAACTCCTCGCATAATGACAATTCGGCACTCGACCAGCCGAGGGACAGGCTGCGCAAAAAGGTTGGAGCGCGTCGCGTGCCATCGCGATGCTGCGTGTCTCTTGCAAGATGTATTTCTGACGCGCCAGATGTCTGGAATCTAAGCTCGTTAACCTTGAGCAAGAAGGCCTTGAGCAAAACTGGCTGCGGGGCCCGCCGGTCGTCGGTCGTCGTCGTCGTCCTCGCCGTCGTGGTCGCATTCCCCGTCGCCATCTGTCGTCGTCTTTCTTTGGTCGTCGTTCTCGGACCGAAGTCTGCGAATCCACGGCTGGCTTTGGTAACCAGATCTCGCGGGTCGCCCCCCACGATGCAGCGTTTTCTTCGCGACCTCCCATCAAATCCTCGCGTCGTGAACATATCAAAGCCTTCCAAAAGTCGTCGTTGTCGAAGTCGCCGTCGCCGTCGTCGAAACCGTCGCCTTACCCGTCGCCGTCGTCGTCGTCGCCGCCGTGGTGCTCGTCGTCGTCGTTGCCATCGTCGTGCTCGCAATCGACGTCGTCGTACTCGCCGTCGTCGTCGTTGCCGTCGTCGTACTGGTCGTCGTCGTTGTCGGTCGTCATCGTCATCGTCGCCGTCGCCCTCGCTGTGGTCGCCGTGGCCGTCGTTCGTCGTTCGTCGGTCGTCGGCCGTGTGTCGTCGGCCGTCGGTCGTTGGTCGTCGATCCTCGATCGTCGCTCGTGGGTCGTCGGTCGGCGGTCGTCGTCGTCATCGTCGTTGTCGTCATCGCCGTCGCCGTCGTCATCCACCCCGCCGTCGCCGTCGCCGTCGCCGTCGTTGGTTGTGGTCGTCGTCGTCGGGCGTCGTCGTCGTCGTCGTCGCCGTCGCCGCCGTCGTCGTCGTCGTCGTCGTCGTCGTCGTCGTCGTCGTCCGTCGCCATCGTCGTCAGTCGTCTCCTCGCCCTACCCCTTGTCGGTGGCCCTGACGAGGTCGGGGGAGAGGGTGCCGAAACGCGCCCAGGGTCCAGCAAGGCATGAAGGTGCAAACCCGGCTTGCCTGGCTGATGCTCTAACCACCCCTCATGCAGTGACCACCCCTTATGCAGGGACTTGTTTCCCTTATGCAGTGACCACTCCTGTATGCAGTGACCCCCGAGTCCAGCAAGGCGTGAAGGTGCAAACCCGACTTGTGTGGCTGATGCTCTGGGGGGGGGGGGCCTGTGCCCAGGGCAGGCTACAGCACCACTCGACGATGTGCTGTTTAACCGAGCCTGCAGGGCGGGCCCTTTCCCAAATCCGTGCTTCAGTGCGGCCCGTCTGCGCGCTTCGTCTCCGTCGTCGTCGTCGTTGTCGTCGGCGTCGGCGTGGTCGTGGTGCGTGTTGCTCTGCTCGGGACTTGTTCCCTTTATGCAGTGACCACCACCACCGCTCCTCCTCCACTTCTGCGCCCTCCTGCAGCAGCCCCTCAAGACCAAGCATCCCAAGCATCCGAAGGACGCTGCTTCAGCCCGCGGCCCAAAGTAGTTTCTGACCCCTTCTTGCCAGATTGAAGGTATCAATCCTTCGGATGTCTGGGATCATCGCCCCTGAGAACCAAGTTTGCAACGGAAAGATCCTCCATGGAACCTCTGACAACTCACACTCCTCAAAGAACTCTCTCTCTCTCTCTCGACGTCTTCTCTCTAAGACAGGCTCATCATCCCGAGCTGTTTCTTGACGGGCACAAGGACTGGAAAGGGCCCCCAAAGCCCCAGACGCCAAAACGATACTTGTTTTGTTTTGTTTGATCCGCGGGTCGAGAGCGCACCTCTTCCGGTCGAAGCTGAGCAACGATACATCCACCGCGATTGATCCGACTGGCCAGGGGCACAGTCAGCATGATGAGTACGATGAATAAGGAGGGTTACACGAGCAACGAAGCTCCTTTTTGGCCCCGACGCGCCCGAATGCACGAGGAGAGCTCAATAATCAACTGTGGAAAAACCTCGGCGCGCCCATTCCGAATCATCTGCTCCTTATTTTTCAACATCCTGGGTGCATGGGCAGTCGGAAGCCCCTGGGCCCCCTGTGGTCCCTGGAGGCCCCCGGAAGAGGCCCAAAATGACCCCCCCCAACTCAGCCGCCCCGATATACAACACGCAACACGTTGCCTGCCGACACGGAGCTCAATACGTAGACTGAAAACTGATGTACTGCGCGATACGTTCGCCAAAACGTGGGCCACCACACTCGGGAGTGGCCAAGAGGGGGGTGTCCAAGAGGGGTGTGTGCAAATCATGACCGGCGGCATGTGCGCGGCCCAGCGGGGGGGCCAGGGACGTAATGAAATGAGAAGAGCCGCCATGAAATCTGGGGAAATATCATGGCCCACGCCATGATATCCCCCCCCCTAGTCATCACCCCCCTCTTTTCCGCCCCCGACACACGCCAGGCCAGCGCACACCGTGCTCAGGACGGACGTTGGAACCGTGGAAATTAGGTGCTGGGCTCCGGCACGGGCGCATCAGGGCAGCCGAGCCCCCCGAACAGCGTCCAGAATCGTGAGCTCTTGCGTCCAACAACTCCGTCCTCGAGCCTCGACCAACCCCCCCCCAAAATCCTCTCCTCGGGGATGGACAGACCCCCCTTTAGTAAAACGTGGTTTAGTGAACACGACCTGAGGCCCAAACCTGGCGGGCGCAAGCCTGGAAAATGACGGCCGCGGCGCCCTCTCGAGAACCGAAAACGGACAATTCACCAATCGACGTGTCACTGTTGGGGGTTCTGTCCACCCCCGATCTCCAAGGCTCCCTGCGGGAGCCACGGCAGAGAAAGCTCCGGGGCGTGGGGAAGATGGCCGCCTGACAGCGTCGAAGTCGGAGCACTTGAGGCCGGATCCTGGGAGCGCCGTCCGTGGACGAGGGAGACCCGCAGCTCCGACTAGACTGGTTCTGCTAGCTGGGCGCGTTTCCTCGATGCCGGCCTCCAGGGCCCGCTATCGGGCCCCAGGGCCATCAACCAGGAGTTCCGGACGAAAAACTGTCCCCGAGGAAGGGGTTGGGCCCTCCGAGGCCGCGCACCTGGGAACTAAATGTATATATTCGTAAAAATATATTCTAGTTTATAATGACAAACAATGGTTGTGCAACGAGGATGTTCGAATGATCTGCGCGTTATTGCCAATTCGTGCGAAAAAACATGGGTCCCCAACGTGTTCATCAAATGCGACCAAGCAAGCCCCTCGCGCGCGCATGTCGGAATCATTCGAACGCCCCTGCTCGTTTGCTCTGAATGTGTGCGGGATGGGAGGCATTATCTATCTCAGAAAAACACCATGCGCGCCACTCACGCACGTCGGCCGCGCGCGCGCGTGCCGAAACCCTTCCGGAACTTGCATCACCGACGCGTGACTACCATCATCGCAATCGGCGTGATCAGTATCGGCGCCGTCATCAGCCTGGCAATCGTCATCGTCGTCTTCGTCACAAGACGCGTTAGTGTCATCATCGCGTTTGCCGTTGTCGACGTCGCCATGATACCGTGCCCGCCTGGATCACCGACTCGCACAGCAGTGCCCGCGCGCCACCGCGGCCTACCAAACGCGCTGGGAAGTCCCGAACACTAGCGCCACCGCGGCCGCGTCGGTCGCGCCAGAATAATTGGTCGCTTTGCGCGCGGGTCTGGACGCACTGATGCGGCCACAGCGAAGCGCCAGCGAGCGCCAGCGAGCGCCAAGCAGTCATCGCAATCGCCGCCGCAGGGGCTCTGCAAGCCAAGTTGCGGGTGGGTCGGTGGGTGGAACGTTTGCACAAACATGGGTCGTGGTCGCGCGCGAAGGAGTCCCACCAGCCCTTTGGGCGTGAGTGGTTTAGAGAGCTCTCTCTGTCCTCAACCCCCCTTCTTCCCCTTCGGGGAGGGGTTTACCCCTCCCCCTACCCCCTCCCCCTGGGCCTGGACAGGGAGTCCCGAGTGTTCTCAGGGGGGTCTTTTTCGACTCCTGGGAGGGCCAACAAACGACTACCCTCACGAGGATTCTGGCCCCGAGGGGGGGAGGGAGTTTGGCGCCTGAACTCGTCGTTGAAGTAAAAAACATTGATTTTACTACGGTTTTGGCACCATTTTGGCCTTCCGAGGGGGCCGCGTTCCTCTTCCTTCTTAGCAGAATCATTGATTTTACGAAGGTGTTGGGCTGATTTTGTCCTTCTCCGGGGTCAGCGCTTACTAGCGCTTCTGAGGAGGTCGCAAGAGACCCCAAGATAGCCCCAAGAGGCTCCCAGGAGGCTCCCAAGAGGCCTCCAGGAGGCCCCCAAGAGGCCCCCCAGAGGCCCCTCGAGGTCCCCTCGAGGCTCCCAAGAGGCCCCCAAAAGGCCCCAAGAGGCTCCAAGAGGCCCCCAAGACGCCCCCAAGAGGCCCCCAAGAGGCCCCCCAGACGCCCCAAGAGCTCCAAGAGGCCCCCAACAGGCCCAACGAGGAGCCCGAACGACCCACACCAGGACGACAGACCCCAACGACTCACACCACGAGGAGCCCGAACGAGTCACACCACAAGGAAGGGCCCGAACGCCTCACACCAAGACGGGGCGCCCGAACGACTCACACCACGAGGAGCCCGAACGACTCACACCACGACGCGGGCCCCGAACGACTCACACCACGAGGAGCCCGAACGAGTCCCACCAGCCCTTTAGGGCGTGAGTGGTTTAGCGAGCCCCCTCTGTCCTCAACCCCCCTTCTTCCCCTTCGGGGAGGGGTTTACCCCTCCCCCTACCCCCTCCCCCTGGGCCTGGAGAGGGCGGGCCGCGGGTCGTCAGGGGGGTCTTTTTCGACTCCTGGGAGGGCAAAAAACGACGACCCTCACGAGGATTCTGGCCCCGACGGGGGGCGGAGCCCCTCTCCTCTTCTGTGAAGCCAAAATCATTGCTTTTACGAGGGTTTTGGCCCCATTTTGGCCTCCCGAGGGGGCCGCGCTCATCTTCCTTCATAGCAAAATCATTGATTTTACGAAGGTTTTGGGCTCATTTTGTCCTTCTCAGGGGGCAGCGCTTCTTTGCGCTTCTGAGGAGGTCGCAAGAGGCCCCAAGATGGCCCCAAGAGGCCCCCAGGAGCCTCCCAAGAGGCCTCCAAGAGGCCCCCAAGAGGCCCCCAAGAGGCCCCAAGAGGCCCCCAAGAGGCCCCCAAGAGGCCAAGAGGCCAGAGGCCCCCAAGAGGCCCCCAAGAGGCCCCCAAGAGGCCCCCAAGAGGCCCCCAAGAGGCCCCAAGAGGCTCCAAGAGGCCCCCAAGAGGCCCCACGAGGAGCCCGAACGACTCACACCAGGACGAGGGGCCCGAACGACTCACACCACGAAGAGCCCGAACGACTCACACCACAAGGAGGGGCCCGAACGACTCACACCAGGACGAGGCGCCCGAACGACTCACACCACGAGGAGCCCGAACGACTCACACCACGACGCGGGCCCCGAACGACTCACACCACGAGGAGCCCGAACGAGTCACACCAGGAGGAGGGGCCCGAACGACTCACACCAGGATGAGGGGCCCGAACAACTCACACCACGAGAAGCCCGAACGACTCACACCAGGACGAAGAGCCCGAACGACTCACACCACGAAGAGCCCGAACGACTCACACCAGGAAGAAGGGCCCGAACGACTCACACCAGGACGAGAAACCCCAAACGACTCAAATCACGAGGAGCGCTTTCTCTCCCTCCTCCTCCGCCTCGTCCTTCTCCCGCTCCCCCCACAAGGAGGATGTGCAAGGAGGCGGGAGGACGGAGGAACAGGGGAGATATGCGGGGCCAAACGGACACACGCCTGAAAAACACGACTGTCGGCATGCTTCGCATGAGTTGCTGTTGTGAGATGGGCTGGTGGGGATACGCGAAGCGTAAAGAATTCTAGTCATTTGCGCTGCGTAGACTATGATAGATTCTCCTTCGACGCGAGAATTGGGATTTCTCTTCCCCAGAGTTATCAGGCCCCCCCCTGGGGTGGTGCAGTTTACTCACGATTCTGCCCCATGGTTCATTCCAAATACGGATGCAATGTTCTAGCCAGACACGCGTCGACTTCCCCGCCCTCATCTTTCTCATGTAATACTATGCGCTCAAGCTTGTTTATCAACGTGCATCAGCTTCTACAGCCCCTCTTGCACAACAAATGCGAGAGTCGCCGACACCGACGCTGAAACCGCCGCCAAGACGACGACGCCGAGCCCGACGCCGACGACGCCGACGCCGAAACCGACGCCGACGACGCCGCGCACGATGCGGAGCACGACGCCTAGCACGACGACGGCAACAAAGCCGACGCCGACTCCGACGTCGACGCCGACCCCGATGGACTACGACGACGACGAGGCCGACGCCGACGAACAAACAGCACGACGCCAAACACGTCGCCGAGCGCGACACCGACGCCGACGTCGACGACGAAGCTGACCCCGACGCCACCGACGAACGACGACAACTACGACAACGAGGCCGAGCACGACGCCAACGCCGACGCAGACGCCAGCGAGGGTGACGCCGATCACGACGCCGGCGACGACGACGAAAAGCACGCCGAGAACGAAGCGGAGGACGACGCCGAGACCGACGTCGACGGCGACGACGACGACGCAACCGCCGCCGACAACGACGAAGGCGCCGCCGCCGACAAGGACGCCGACGCCGACGCCGACTCCGACGCCGGCGACGACGAGAGCGACGACGCCGACCATGATGCCGAACGCGACGCCGACCACGGCGCCAACGGCGCCGACGCCGATATCGGCGCCGACGCCGACGCCGACGCCGACGACGACGCCGATGGTGGCGACGACGCCGAGAAGTACGCCGAGCACGACGCCGACGAAACCAACGCCGACAGTGACGCCGACGTCACCGACCACGCCGAGTATGACGCCGAGCGCGACGACGAACGCGACGCCGACAATGACGCCGGCGCCAACATCGAAGCCGACGCAGGTGCCGGCGACGACGACGCCCGACGCCAACACAAACGCCGACGCCGACCCCCCCGCCAACGCCGACGCCGACGCCGACGCCAGAGCCGACGTCGACGACGACGCCGACGCCGACGCCGCCGACGACGCCGACGCCGACGCCGACGCCGACGACGACGACGAGCACGACGCCGACGCCGACGCCGACGCCGACGCCGACGTCGACGACGACGACAAGCGCGACGCCGACGCCGACGACAGGGGCGATGGCGACCACGAGCACGACGCCGCGGTCGACGCCCCCCCGCCCCCACTGGGCGCCGAGCTCCAAAACCGGGGGAGGCCCTGCAAACGACCACAGACAACGCTCTTTCAAACATTGAAACACATTACACACGCGCGCGTCGTTCCCAGCACGTGCCAGAAACCTTGAACCCAGAACGCAACTTCCGCGAGGATTTCAACATCGAGTTCCCCGAAACAGCGAGGAACAAAAAACCAATGGTTCGGCAACGTGGCATGTCAGAGATGCGCGCGCGCTCCTGCGAATTCGAACGAGAACAATTGGTTGTTCAACGTGTTTGCCAACTGCGGCCAAACGGGCCCATCGCGCGGGCATGTCGACGTCGTTCTAACGCCTTTGCGCGTTTGCTGCAGGGGGGTGGGGCGGTGGTGCGGGGGGGGTCCCGGTTATGTGACGCCGCGCGCGCCACCCGCGCCCGTCGGCAGGCGCGCGCGTCGAAACCCGACCGAAACCTTCATCGCTGACACGTGCGCGTCATCATTCTCTTTGGCGTGATCAGCAACGGCAACGTCATGGCCTTGCCGCCGTCATCGTCATCGTCGCCACCAGGATCGCTGCCATCATCGTCGTTTCCACCGCTGCCGACGTCGCCAGGATACCGCGCCAGCCCAAGTCACCGACTCGCATTGGAGGGCCAAGCGGTCA